TGCCTGACTGCATTGTGCCAAGTGTAAAGTTTAGTGGGGGGGGATTATGGTGTGAGGTTGTTTTTCAGGGGTTGGGCTTGGCCCCTTAGTTCCAATGAAGGGAACTCTTAAGGCTTCAGCATACCTTTTGGATAATTTCATGCTTCCAACTTTGTGGGAATAGTTTGCGGATGGCCCCATCCTGTTCCAACATGAATGCACACCAGTGCACAAAGCAAGGTCAAAGGAACACTTTGAAAATACATCAGATCTCAATATGGAAAAATATGATGATGGATATCTACACTGATATGGACTGGGTAATTAGGAACTGGGTGTTAGGAACGAAAGGATGCCCCATCGTTTGATGGAAATGAAAGTTCTCAACCTATAGAGGACTGAATTCAAAGATACCCCGAAAATCAAAGTGAAAAGATGATGCAGCAGGCTAGTCCATTTTGCTGAAATTTCATTGCAGCAACTCAAAATGGTACTCAGTAGTTTGTATGGCCCCCACGTGCTTGTATGCATGCCTGACAACATCGGGGCATTCTCCTAATGAGATGACGGATGGTGTCCTGAGGTACTTCCTTCCAGATCTGGACCAGGGCATCACTGAGCTCCTGGACAGTCTAAGGTTTAGGTCACTGACCCACCACCAAAATGGTAATGATGAACGATGTTACAGGCAGCATATCTGTCACATGTGCTCAGGGTGAACCTGCTCTCATCTGTGAAAAGCACAGGGCACCAGTGGTGGACCTGCCAATCCTGGTGTTCAATGGCAAATGCCAATTGATCTCTATGGTGCACAAGGCCCACTAGAGGATGTTGGGCCCTCAGGCTACCCTCATGAAGTATTTTTCTGATTGTTTGGTCAAACAGTCACACCAGTGGCTTGCTGGAGGTCATTTTGTAGGGCTCTGGCAGTGCTCATCCTCTCCCTCCTTGCACAAAGGAGCAGATACCGGTTCTGATGGGTTAAGGACCTTCTATGGCCCTGTCCAGCTGTCCTAGAGTAATTACCGGTCTCCCTTCCATGCTCTTGAGACTGTGCTGGGAGACACAGCAAACCTCCAGGCAATGTCACGTATTGGATGTGCCATCCTGGAGCAGTTATGCCTGTGCAACCTCTGTAGGGTCCAGGTATCGCCTCATGCTACCAGTAGTGACACTGACCCTAACCAAATGCAAAAGTGGTGAAAAACAGTCAGAAAAGATGAGTAGGGAAAAAAAGTCCGTGGCCTCCACCTGTAAAACCATTCCTGTTTTGGGGTCGTCTCATTGTTGCCCATCTAGTGCACCTGTTGTTAATTTCATTAAAACCAAAGCAGCCGAAACTGACTAACCCCCCCTTGCTATTTAACTGACCAGATCAATATCCCAGGAGTTTAATTGACTTAATTCTATACTCTGATTAATCACTTAGTAACTGCACTATAGCCACAGCGTGAGGTAAGTGTTGCCGATAACCGGCAGCTGTAACAGAGGAGAATGGCATTGATCATCCCCCCTTTCCTGACTGCCGGGCTGCATGCTTGGATAAAGGTCTGGTATGGATTTTTGGGGGGACCCCACACCATTTATTTTTTTTAATTGCAATTCTTTTACATTCTGCTGTCAGTGGGGAACCCCGCTGACAGCTGAAACATTAAAACATGGTTGTCACTACTAAAATACAGCATGACTTGATAAAATAACTCATGCGGTATTTTAGTAGCGTTTTACTTTTTTCTGACCTCAGGAACGGATTAATTTGTTTTCAGTGCATTCCTATAGGAAACTGCATTTTGTGATCCATGTACTATGACCAGGCACCATGGCTAAGTTGGTGATTTTACTTTGCTCATGTGCACTTATGCTTGACTACCATCCCACCCTCAGCTTGCTGACTAGACAATGAGCAAACATCGGCACGCTGATTGAGTCATCAATCTGTTCACTCAGCACTCTCCTTACTCAGCAGCCTCTTGGTTTTACATTGTTTACCTCCATCTAATATAGCACAGACTGACTTGTTCAGAATTGTGCTCTTCCATCTTCTATTCTGCAAAGTATTACAGAAAATGTTACAGGCTAGTATTCAGAAGTACACATAATATAAAAATCTTTTTCTCATAGCGTTAAGGTGGGAAGAATTATTTTTTAAAGAATATTTATCTAGACCAGTTGGCAATATTATTTTTAAATGTACCAAAGGAAAATGTATAGATAAAATATTCTAAATTTCTCGCCTTTTCCTTCTCAGAGATGACTAATTTATTGCTGCTAGCAGAGTTTTGTTTGAATGCAATTTATATATTACGCAAAGCGAAAAAAATGTTCTTGAAAATAAAGGGACCAATCATTTTGTGATATATCATTACAGCGAGCTGCAAAGCCCTCACATGAACTGGTTCAGAGCCTGATTTCTACCAATGTCACTATCGACTCCAAGATGTCTACCAGTAAAGTGTCCTTATTCACGGACTCCAAACCACTGGGCATTGAGGATGTTGAAAAAAAGGAGTAAGTTCTTTTGTATCATTTTCTGTGCACTTTGCATGTATGTAAATATAATTTTATACACTGTAGGCTAAATTACAAAGATTTAAAACAAGCATGAGGATCTCCATTTTAGCCATGTACTGTATTTTTAAATCTCGTTGTATTTTACTGAAAATAATTGTCACTTTTTTAAAATGAAGATCCTTATCCAGTTGTGCAAGCTATGCAACCTGAACGTATGTACAGTGGGGCAAAAAAGTATTTAGTCAGCCACCAATTGTGCAAGTTCTCCCTCTTAAAAAGATGAGAGAGGCCTATAAGTGGCATCATAGGTAGACCTCAACTATGAGAGACAAAATGAGAAAGAATCCAGAAAATCACATTGGCTGATTTGGAAAGAATTTATTTGCAAATTATGGTGGAAAATAAGTATTTGGTCAATGTCAAAAGTTCATCTCAATACTTTGTTATATATCCTTTGTTGGCAATGACAGAGGTCAAACGTTTCCTGTAAGTCTTCACAAGGTTGGCACACACTGTTGCTGGTATGTTGGCCCATTCCTCCATGCAGATCTCCTCTAGAGCAGTGATGTTTTGGGGCTGTCGCTGGGCAACACGGACTTTCAACTCCCTCCAAAGGTTTTCTATGGGGTTGAGCTCTGGAGACTGGCTAGGCCACTCCAGGACCTTGAAATGCTTCTTACGAAGCCACTCCTTCGTTGCCCAGGCGGTATGTTTGGGATCATTGTCATGTTGGAAGACCCAGCCACGTTTCATCTTCAATGCCCTTGCTGATGGAAGGGGGTTTGCACTCAAAATCTCACGATACATGGCCCCATTCATTCTGTCCTGTACATGGATCAGTCGTCCTGGTCCCTTTGCGGAGAAACAGCCCCAAAGCATGATGTTGCCACCCCCATGCTTCACAGTAGGTATGGTGTTCTTTGGATGCAACTCAGCATTCTCTCTCCTCCAAATACGACGAGTTGTGTTTCTACCAAACAGTTCTATTTTGGTTTCATCTGGCCATATGATATTCTCCCAATCCTCTTCTGGATCATCCAAATGCTCTCTAGCAAACTTCAGACGGGCCCGGACATGTACTGGCTTAAGCAGGGGGACACGTCTGGCACTGCAGGATCTGAGTCCCTGGCGGAGTAGTGTGTTACTGATGGTAGCCTTTGTTACGTTGGTCCCAGCTCTCTGCAGGTCATTCGCTAGGTCCCCCGTGTGGTCCTGGGATTTTTGTTCACCATTCTTGTGATCATTTTGACCCCACGGGGTGAGATCTTGCGTGGAGCCCCAGATCGAGGGAGATTATCAGTGGTCTTGTATGTCTTCCATTTTCTAATTGCTCCCACAGTTGGTTTGTTCACACCAAGCTGCTTGCCTATTGCAGATTCAGTCTTCCCAGTCTGGTGCAGGTCTACAATTTTGTTTCTGGTGTCCTTCGACAGCTCTTTGGTCTTCACCATAATGGAGTTTGTAGTGTGACTGTTTGAGGTTGTGGACAGGTGTCTTTTATACTGATAACAAGTTCAAACAGGTGCCATTGATACAGGTAATGAGTGCAGGACAAAGGAGCCTCTTAAAGAAGAAGGTACAGGTCTGTGAGAGCCAGAAATCTTGCTTGTTTGTAGGTGGCCAAATACTTATTTTCCACCATAATTTGCAAATAAATTCTTTCCAAATCAGCCAATGTGATTGTCTGGATTTTTTTTTCTCATTTTGTCTCTCATAGTTGAGGTCTACCTATGATGCCAATTACAGGCATCTCTCATCTTTTTAAGTGGGAGAACTTGCACAATTGGTGGCTGACTAAATACTTTTTTGCCCCACTGTATGTTACAATGGGAAAAATAATTATTTGATCCCCTGCAGATTTTTTTTAAGTTTGCCGACAGAGACAGACTATCGACCAAAAATCCAGAAAAAAAACACGATACAAATGTTATAAATGGAGTTGCAGTTCAGTGAGTAAAATAAGTATTTGATCCCCAAGCAAAACATGACTTAGTACTTGGTGGAGCTACCCTTGTTGGCAAGTACAGAGGTAAGACATTTCTTGTAGTTGGTTACCAGGTTTGCACACATCTCAGGAGGGATTTTGCTCCACTCTTCTTTACAAATCTTCTCTAAATCCTTAAAGTTTTTTGGCAGTTGCTTGGCAACTCGAAGTTTCAGCTCCCTCCAGAAATTTTCTAAAGGATTTGGGTCTGGAGACTGGCTAGGCTACTCCATGACCTTAATATGCTTCTTCTTGAGCCACTTCTTTATTGTTTTGGCGGTATGTTTTGAGTCATTGTCATGCTGGAAGACCTATCCACAATCCATCTTCAGTGTTCTGGCTGAGGGAAGAAGGTTCTCATCTAAGATTTTACAATCTTAGATGAGAACCTACAATCATACATGGCCCTGTTCCTTGGCCCCTCAGTGTGGCAATGTCGGCCTGTCCCTTTAGCAGAGAAACAGCCCCAAAGCATAATGTTTCCACCTCCTTGCTTGACTATAGGGATGGTGTTCTTAGAGTCATAGTCAGCATTTTTCTTCCTTCAAACATGGCGAGTTGAGTTAATGCCAAAGAGCACAATGTTGATCTCATCTGACCACAGCTCTTTCTCCCAATCCTTCTGTGAATCATTTGGATGTTCATTGGCAAACTTCAGATGGTCCTGAACATGTGCCTTCTTGAGGAGGGGGACCTTGCAGGCACTGTAGGATTTCAATCCATGGCAGTGCATTGTGTTACCAATGGTTTGTTTGGTGACTGTCGTCCTAACTGCCTTGATGTCATTCACAAGCTCCTCCCTTGTAGTTCTGGGCTTATTCCTCACTTTTCTCATGATCATTCTTACCCCGTGAGGCAAAATCTTGCATGTGAACCAAGGGCAATTGATGATTATTTTGTATTTCTTCCATTTGCGAATAATCGCTCCAGCAGTTGTCTCCTTCTCACCAAGCTTCTTGCTGATGGTCTTGTAGCCCATTCCAGCCTTGTGCAGGTCTACAATCTTGTCCCTGACGTCCCTTGACAGCTCCTTGGTCTTTGGCCCATGGTGGTGAGGTTTGAATGGAAGAATGTTTCTGTGGACAGGTGTCTTTTATACATATAACGAGTTGTCGTTAGGAGTATCTTTTTAAATTGACAGGACTAATCTGTGTACCACATGAGCACATAGCCAGACTGTGGGAGCCAGAATTATTGTTGGTTGGTAGGTAATCAAATACTTATTTTACTCACTGAACTGCAACTCCATTTAAACCATTTGTATCATGTGTGTTTTCTGGATTTTTGATTTTTTTTTTATCATAGGTGTATTTTTAAATGATATAGACCCTTAATTTCTTTGTAAGTGGGAAAACGTACGAAATCTGCAGGGGATCAAATCATTATTTTCCCCACTATATATGTAGTTGAATAACTATTAACGTAAATATTATTATTTTTTTTTTTTTTTTTACAGAAGTGGGGAAAAAAGTATATGCTAAAAGACATTGCATACTAAAATATAGTCTTGCTTATTGGATAAGGCATTGCAGCAACACACCTATCCGTTTTCTTCTCTCTACATGATAGCTCAGCATAGCCTATTGTATAAGTTGATTGGTTAGTTGTAACGGTTTCCTTCCCTTCACCAGCTTTCTTATAATGTAAAGGGCTGCAGGGATCTGTATTTCGGTTACTTTGATCTCATTCATTCTAATCTTTATAAAACAACTACTGTCCTTTTAGCTTTGTAATGCCCATCGAAGAGCGAGTGATGGATGTTAAAACAGGGCGAATTCGTCGCAAAGCAATATTCCAAGATGACCAGAATGGGGAAACTGGAGTAGATGATGACGAAGATGATGAGGAGGGGGAAGAAGTCGAGGATGATGATGATGATGATGGTGAAGAGGATAATGAAACATCAGATGAGGAGGAGGAGGATGATGAGAAATTTGAAGGGCAGCAGCCCACTCCAAGGGCGGTTAAACGCATGAAACTGGATGATAAAAAGGAACCTTCTTCATTTGAAATGCCTGCCTTTGCCGACAGTGATGATGATCTAGAACACAGCGATGATGAAAAAAGTGGTATGGTAAAAGAAGATGAAGAGGAGGATGATGAAGAATCATTTAGTGATGAGGAAATACACGTGAAGAAAAAGACCAGTTTAAAAAAACAAATGCGAACAAGAAACAGTAATAGGAAAACACCTGTATTGGACAGTGGGAACTGCACTGGGGAGGATGGTATGTCATCCGACTCTGATACACCAGAAGACATGGAGCCTGAGGGTGAAGACTCTGAAGAGAAGGGAGAAGAGTTACAGGAGACTTCTGATGAAGAGGAGGATGATGACGATGAAGAGGACCTACTGAAAGATGAGGATGTCTTAACTGAAGATCACAATGCTTCTGAAGACACAGTTGGTGAGTTACACTAGTCAGTGTATAATAGACAGTTTTTATTGCTAATTGTTCTTTAATCTACACCTGATCATTTTTATACATAGAACTTGGAGAAATAAGTTACCCTTGACTTTTTATATCTTTTGAGATCTCTGCAGGCAGCATCTCCTTGCCTATAGTTCCTATATTTTTCACTTGCTCTGGAGTGCTTGGTTTCCCATGTCTCTTGTTTGGACTCTTTTTTTTTTTTTTCTTCTTTTAAATATAAAATATTAAAAAAACCTATACTTGGTCCAACAGAGACTTGCTCCAGGTCCTGTCGAATCGCATAGGCGAAATAACCTTCTCTGATCATGCCCCAGTCTATATGGACCTGCAGATGGGGCCTACCATACGTAGTCCGCCCTCGTGGCACCGAAATCAGACGCTCTTGCAATCTACAGAGATTGGGGCGACCCTTGAGCGTATCTCAGAACTCTTCTTGCTTAATGCAGATTCTGTAGACCGTCCTCCTATGCTATAAAAAGCCCACAAACCGTCCCTTCATGGATTGTTGATGGCGATTGGGGCCATCCTTAAACGTGAACGCTCTCTCCAGGTCGACACCTTACTTCAACATTTGGAAGTGTGTCCATAAGGCTAGCCTACTTCCCAAGACTTCTTTATCACGGGGGGGCAAACTAAATTTTCTCCTCTTTCATAAGGTAAAGGAGAAGTTAGCCTGGTCTCAACTTTCCATGTACAAGTTTTCCAACAAACCTGGCACTCTTCTCGCTTGAGCACTCCGGGGAATTCACACTCGAACTTGCATCCCCCATGTCATGGCATGTCAGTATCTGGACAGAAGCAGTTCACCTCAGATTTTTTTGGCCTTCAAATTCTTTTTTTTTTCAGGCCCTGTATAACATCGTGCCGAATGCCTCTTGGTATCTCTCCTTGGGTGTTCAGCCAGAGGTTCATTCTTACATTGCCTTCTCTGGCATGCCTCCCCTCTTCTGTCTACCAAGATCTGGAAGCTTCCATCTCTGTAGAAGAGCGGTGGCTCTTTCACAGTCTAAGCCAAAGAAAGCACCGGGACTGGATGGTTTGACCGTGGCCTAATATAGAACATTTCTTGATTTGTTTTCTCCTTGTATGGTAGTGGCCATCTAGGACCTGGTCACCTAGTTGAGCATGCCTCTTTAGGCCTTCAAACTCCAGGGTTATTTAAGTGCACTTGTGTCTCCTTTTGACTATTGGGCCCTCAGGGATCCCAGATTCACACATGGGGGCTACCTTGAAAGCTTTTTTGACAATACAAGCGGCGTGTTGCCGTGGTATGTAACCCATATATGAATTTACATGCGTCCGGACGTATTTTTGTTTGTTTAATTTGTTTTTTCTATTCATGGGTTTTTATGTGCTGAATTCAATGATTGATGCTTGCATCCACGCTGGTGTTTTACTTGCATTGATTAATAAAACTGTCGGCTTTATGATACTTAGTATTAAGATTTATTTTCTGCGATACCTATGCCTACTAAATATTTGTCATCAATAGTAACCACTTTTGCCTACTCTTTGGGCAGTTCTGTTTTTGCGTTAATGTTTTTTGGTTACGGTAACAAACGCTTAACTTATAGCGGAGGTGCGTTTAGTATATGCATATGTATTTTCACCAACCTCAAAGGTCATTTTTTGAGTGCTGTTGGTATCTAGATACCGGGTAGACTCAGTTGCCCATCTGAACGAAAAGGAAGACGCCTGACCACACTAGGGTCAGAAGGAATATTCAGGGCAGAGGATTTTGCATAATTGATTTTAAAGAATGATAGGGAGCCACAGTCTTGAAGGGCCCGTATAAGGTTAGGAAGAGAGGGTAAGAAGGTCCGCAAGAAAGAAAATTAGGTAGTCGGTGAACGCTGCAAACTTGTGTTCACCAGAGGGCTTATTGTAATCAGTACTGTTAGGGTTCGCACGGATCGTGCACAGGAAGGGTTCCAGGGTTAAAATAAAGATTTGCTTTCGGTACTAACATCACACCTAATCTATTACATCTCTATACTGCAACATTTGCACCTCTTTTGATTAAAATTTGAGGATTTACTTCATTGGTATACACTCACATTGACATGGTTTGGCTTTCTATTCATTTATCCATGCAGTTTTTTTTCAGAGAGTCCATGCAATGTTCCGTGCCTGGTCCCACAAGAAACCTAGGCTTACCCTGCACCTACTGACCCTGCCAAAGCTTTGTCGAGTGGTGGGCTTATGTGACTTTTTTGCTCTTACTATATAGCTGCCCACCTTACACTCCTGGTTGATTGGCACTGTCACAGTGCAGCTGAACATTGGGTAACCATGGAATTGGGGGTTCCCAGAGCACGACCACGAGCTGGCCCTGGCTGACTCGTCCTTTGCCACAGGATTTCAGTGCTCACCCTACTCTGGAAACCACCTTGAGGGTCGCCCCGGGATGTGTTTCGTAGCACGTCTTTTTCCCCTGGCCCTTCACATATGGTCCACATACAGGGTAATCCTGACTTTACCCCTGGAGCAGAAGACCAGCAATTCACCCACCTCACCTCTGGTGGATGTATTCATCTGACAGACTTTGACTCCGGATGGGGCTCTCCTTCCCACAGATCTCACTCAGTTGGTGGATCCTCCATTGAGCCTCTGGGGAGGCCTTCGGCTCCGATCTTTCCTGCATTCACCTGGCATTGCTCGCTCCCTAACTGCCTTTGAGACCCTTTGCCACAAGGGCAAGCCATTCTTCATAATCTTTCTACTATGTACTCGTCTTTCATTCACCCAATGACCGATTTCTCCCCCTTTTTTTCTCTCTAAATGGGAATCCGATCTAGGTGCGTCCTTTACGATGTCACAGAAGGAAAAAGTTTTAAACTTCTCTCAGAATTCCTCCATAGCTGCCAAGGTTCGAGACACCAATTATAAACTTCACACCCAATGGTACTGGGTTTCTACCAGGCTTCATTGCATTTCATCACAATTTCCTAGTGCTTGCTGGCACTATGGGGCTGATCAAGACTCCTGTCTCCATATCTTCTGGCAATGCCCAATGCGCCAGTCATTCTGGTGAGGGGTTACTGGTATAATCAAACAACTTACCGTGGTGGACTTGCATGATGACCCGGTGGCCTGCCTCCTGGACTTAACAGGGGGACCTATTAAGAAATACAAGGCCTCTCTTATCATTCAGATGCTCCATGCAGCGAAGGCCTGTATCCCACTCCGTTGGAAGGACTTTCACTCTGATTATGTGATGGGGGGACGGCGATGTTCTTTATGCTGTTTCCTAGCCCTATAGCTGACTGGCAAGCACCAGCCTGTTTTCAACATTTCCTTAACCCCCTTTGTCTACAGGTACCTTGTAGGATAACTGCTTTATGACTTTACCATGATGGTTTCTTCTCTTTCGCTGTATTTGACTGTAATTTGTCTTCATCACATAAGATGATTCTTGATGGTCCTGTCCATTTTTTTTTTGTATACGATTGGCACTTTTCCTGATCTGTCATCCAGTATAAGATGGTCTTTGTTTGCCTTTTTTGTGTATGATGTTTTGTACAAATAAAGGAAATAAAAAGAAAAAAAGCAAATGAGAGAGTTGAACCACTTGTAATGACCAAAGAAGGTGGAAGCCTTGGGAGCCCATGTGCAATGGAGTTCCCAGAGAAGGAATAAACTGAATTAAAGCTGAATTCCAGGCAAACCTCTTAATACACAGATGAAATGCTTACTACATATAGAGATGATTTCCCTGTCGAGGTTTGTTTTTTTTTTTTCTCTGTCCATCTAGTTCTAAGATTCGCACTGCATGTTTGGCAGGGCAGGAAACTGTATGTTTACAGGTACTTTCCTTCCCCCCCTGCCTTGGAAAGTGGAGGCTTTTAACTGATGAGCTCATCTCTTTCCTCTCACTCTGTCAGCAAATTTTTGGCAAAGCTTGTGCTGCTTCCCCCTTTTCTGGTCCAAGCTTTGCTGTACAGGGATGCATGTGATGATTTGCTAATACGCAGCATGCAATAATTTTTGTCTTTTGTATATTTACCTGGAGTTCAGCTTTAGGTGTTTTAACTTCTTAGTTTAATCCAGGAGGCCACAAAATGTCGACCATTATATGTTTTATGGTTCGTTAATATAGCATTGTTTGCAGGTGCTTTAAAGTGGAAAGAAGACCTGAAGAAAAAGGCTGCTGAAGTTTTCATTCGCCATCAACAGTCTGTTCCCAATCTCCGGAAATTTGTTTATGGAACAGGTATGTTATGTTATGTTACAGGCAGATGTTGCTGTGAAATCAAATCTCCCTACATTGAGAGTATACAGGCTACACTGTCTATATTTATTTATTTTTAGATCTGAGGCCCCATTGACACCTGCGCATTGTTGAAAATGTGCCTAAGCGTACATCGCACTTGTATTGTCATTATTTCCTAATGAAACAACAAGCAATTTACTTCCAAAAAAAGGTGCGGGAGCTACTTTGGAGCATTTGTCATGCATTGGGCAGTCTATGCAAGTGAATGGTCCGTTCTATGCTGTCCAGTAACAAGCTCGCAAAAGGTTTTAAAATGACAAGCATAAGCACGTTCTGCAGGATTGAATGGGGCTTTAGGGGTTAACCAATTACCCTCCTGAGGATTTACCCCCCTTGATGGCCAGGCCATTTTTTACATTACGGCGCTGCGTTACTTTAACTGGCAATTGGCGGTCATGCAACACTGCACCCAAATGAAATTTACGTCCTTTTTTTTTCCATGAATTGAGCTTTCTTTCAGTGGTATTTGATCACCTGTGCATTTATTTTTTGCACTATAAGCAAAAAAAAGACCGACAATTTTGAGACACAAACCTATATTTTGAACTTTGCTATTAAACACAGTAAAAAAATTCAAATTTCATAAAATTTAGGCCAAAATGTATTCTGCGACATGTCTTTGCTAAAAAAAAATAACCAAAAAAAAAACCAATACGTGTAAATTGATTGGTTTGCGTGAAAGTTATAGAGTTTACAAATGGTGGTATAGATAATGGGATGGTTTTTTTTTTTTTCTCGAACTAGTAATGGCAGTGATCAGTGAATTTAAGCCGGACTGCGGCAGACATTCTGACACTGGGGGGAACTAACACCCCAGTGCCACCAATACAGTGATCAGTGCTAAAAAAAAAAAAAAAAAAAAAAAAAAAAAAAGCACAGACACTGTACTAATGGCACTGGGCAAGAATGGGGTTAATGTGGTTAATGTGAGGGGGATCAAAGTGTTAATTGTGTGCTGAGAGCGTTTCACTAGGGGTCAGGGGGTGTGTTCTTCACTGTAAGCAGACTGCTCGCGATGGCTGTACTGTGCACAGCCATCCCGAGCAGTGTGCTTGAGCTGACAGGGAGGAAGACTGTTTGTAAACAAAACAATCCCCCCCCCCCCCCCCCCCCCCCCCCGTCGGAGATGCTCGGTAATTACCGGCCGGGACCCGTGATTGATAGTCGTGGCCACGAATGGCGGCGGGGTAAGGCACATGGCCAGCGTGCACCCCTACTGGAAAATACGAAATCACGTATGTATACGTAATTCTGCACAGGTGCCACCCTGTAGCAGTATATCTGCTATAGGGCGGTCCTTAAGCTTTAAACCAACAAGTAACATAAAAAAAAATAAAAAATTATTAAAAAAAAATAGAATGCAAGTCAAATTGTTTATTACTGTCTGTATCCCTGTTGGAGTTAATACCACATTGAGCATTTGAGAGCAATTGAAAGTGTGTGTGTATGTATGTATGTATGTATATATATATATATATATATATATATATGTGTATGTATATATATATGTATGTGTGTATACACACACACACACACAAAATGTGTATTATGTATGTATATATGTGTATATATATATACATGTGTGTGTGTGTGTGTGTATGTACAGTGGATATAAAAATTCTACACACCCCTGTTAAAATATCAGGTTTCTGTGATGTAAAAAAAAATGAGACAAAGATAAATCCTTTCAGAACTTTTTCCACCTTTTAATATGACCTATAAACTGTACAGCTCAATTGAAAAACAAACTGAAATCTTTTATGGCTTTAGGTATGTGTGGGGGAGGGGGATAAACATAAAAAACTAAAATAATGTGGTTGCATAAGTGTGCACACCCTCTTATAACTGGGGATGTAGCTGTGTTCAGAATTAAGCAATCAGATTCAAAATCATGTTAAATAGGAGTCAGTACACACCTGCCATCATTTAAAGTGCCTCTGGTTAACCCCAAATAAAGTTCAGCTGTTCAAGTAGGTCATTCCTGATATTTTCTTAGTCACATCCTACAGCAAAAGCCATGGCCTCAGACAGCTTCCAAAGCATCAGAAGGATCTCATTGTTCAAAGGTATCAGTCAGGAGAAAGGTACAAAAGAATTTCCAAGGCATTAGATATACCATGAAACACAGTGAAGATTATCATCATCAAGTGGAGAAAATATTGCGTAAACAGAGACATTACCAAGAACTGGACGCCCCTCCAAAATCGATGAAAAGATGAGAAGAAAACTGGTCTGGTAGGCAGCCAAGAGGCCTACAGAAACATTAAAGTAGCTTCAGGAATATCGGGAAAATACTGACTGTGTGGTACATGTGACATTCTTCATATGTCTAGGCTGTGGGGTAGAGTGGCAAGATGGAAGCCTTTTCTTACAAAGAAAAACATCCAAGCCTGGCTAAAGTTTTGCAAAAACACATCTGAAGTCTCCTAAAAGCATGTGGGGAAATGTGTTCTGTTCTAATGAAACCAAGGTTGAACTTTTTGGCCATAATTCCAAAAGATATGTTTGGTACAAAAACAACACTGCACATCCCCAAAAGAGCACCATACCCACAGTGAAGCATGGTGGTGGCAACATCATGCTTTGGGGCTGTTTTTCTTCAGCTGGAACTGGGGCCTTAGTCAAGGTAGAGGGAATTATGAACAGTTCCAAATACCAGTCAATACTGGCACAAAACCTCAGGCTTCTGCTAGAAAGCTGAACATGAAGAGGAACTTCGTCTTTCAGCATGACAACGACCCAAAGCATACATCCAACATACAGCCAGGAAGATTAATATTTTGGAATGGCCCAGCCAGAGCCCAGACCTGAATCCGATCGAAAATCTGTTTTTGCAAGGAAGAGTGGGCAAATATTGCCAAGTCAAGATGTGCCATGCTGATAGACTCATACCCCAAAAAGACTGAGTGCTGGGATCAAATCAAAAGGTGCTTTAACAAAGTATTAGTATAAGGGTGTGCACACTTATGCAACCATATTATTTTAGTCTTTTATTTTTACTTCCCTCCACCTAACAAATTTCAGTTTGTTTGCTCAACTGAGTTGTACAATTTATAGGTTACATTAAAGGTGGAAAACGTTCTGAAATAATTTATCTTTATCTAATTTTTTTTTACATCACAGAAACCTGACATTTTAACAGGGGTGTGTAGAATATATATATATATATATATAACACGCGCACGCACACACACACACACACTATATTGCCAAAAGTATTGGGACACCTGTCTTTACACGCACATGAACTTGAATGGCATCCCAGTCTTAGTCCGTAGGGTTCTATATTGAGTTGGCCCGCCCTTTGCAGCTATAACAGCTTCAACTCTTCTGGGAAGGCTGTCCACAAGGTTTAGGAGTGTGTCTATGGGAATGTTTGACCATTCTTCCAGAAGTGCATTTGTGAGGTCAGGCACTGATGTCAGACGAGAAGGCCTGGCTCGCAGTCTCCGCTCTAATTCATCCCAAAAGTGTTCTATCGGGTTGAGGTCAGGGCTGTGTGCAGGCCAGCCAAGTTCCTCCACCCCGCACTCCTTCATCCATGTCTTTATGGACCCTGCTTTGTGCACTGGTGGGCAGTCATGTTGGAATAGGAAGGGGCCATCCCCAAACTGTTCCCATAAAGTTAAGAGCATGAAATTGTCCAAAATGTCTTGGTATGCTGACGCCTTAAGAGTTCCCTTCATTGGAACTAAGGGGCCAAGCCCAAGCCCTGAAATACAACCAGACACCATAATCTCTCCTCCACCAAACTTTACACTTGGCACAATGCGGTCAGGCAAGTACTGCTCTAGAGTCGAGTGGCAGCATGCTTTACACCACTGCATCCAAAGCTTTGCATTGCAGTTGGTGAAGGCTTAAATGCAGCTGTTCGGCCATGGAAGCGCAGTCTTTGAAGCTCTCCACTCACTTTTGTTGTGCTAATCTGAAAACCACAAGAAGCTTGGAAGTCTTTATCTATTGACTCTGCAAATAGTTGGCAACTTCTGCACACTGTGTGCTTCAGCATGCGCTGACTCTGCTCTGTCATATTACGTGGCCTACCACTTCATGGCCGAGTTGCTGTTGTTCCCAGTTGCTTCCACTTTGTTATAATACCACTAACAGTTGACCGTTGAATATTTAGTAGCAAGGAAATTTCACGGATGGACTTAATGCACAGATGGCAACCTATCACGGTACCACCTTTGAATTCACTGAGCTCCTGAGAGCGACCCATTCTTTCACAAATGTTTGTAGAAGCAGTCTGCATGCCTACAGTGAAGGAAATAAGTATTTGATCCCCTGCTGATGTTGAATGTTTGCCCACTCACAAATAAATGATCAGTCTAAAAATCGAACGGTAGGTGTATTGTAACACTGAGAGACAGAACAGCAACAAACATTTTAAACAAATGCATGTCTAAAAAATTATGCACTGATTTGCATGTTCATGAAGGAAATAAGTATTTGATCCTCTATCAGCAGGATTTCTGGCTACCAGGTGTCTTTCATACAGGTAACAAGCTGTGATTAGAAGCAGTCTCTTAAAGGGAGTGCTTCAAATCTCATTTTGTTACCTGTCTAAAAGACACATGTCCACAGGAGCAATCAAACAATCAGATTCCAAACTCTCCACCATGACAAAGACCAAACAGCTGTCCAAGGATGTCAGGGACAAGATTGTAGAACTACACAAGGCTGGACTGGGATACCAAACTATCGCCAAGCAGCTTGGTGAGAAGGTGACAACAGTTGGTGCAATCGTTCACAAATGGAAGAAACACAAAACAACTGTCAGTCTCCCTAGGTCCTGTGCATCATGCAAGATCTCACCTCGTGGAGTGTCAATGATCATGACAACAGTGAGGAATCATCCCAGAACTACACGTGAGGATCTTGTCAATGATCTCCAGGCAGCTGGGACCACAGTCACCAAGAAAATAATTGGAAACACACTACGCTGACAAGGATTGAAATCCTGCCGTGCCCTTATGGTCCCTCTGCTCAAGAAAGCACATTTCCAGGTTCCGTCTGCAGTATGCCACTGAACATCTGAATGTTGCATAGGAGAACTGGTTGAAAGTGTTGTGGTCAGATGAGACCAACATCGAGCTCTTTGGCATCAACTCAACTCGCTGTGATTGGAGGAGGAAGAATGCTGCCTATGACCCCAAGAACACCATCCCAACTGTCAAAACGTGGTGGAAACATTCTGCTTTGGGGGTGTTTTTCTGCTAAGGGGACAGGACAACTGTACTGCATCAAAGGGACGATGGATGGGGCAATATACCATCAAATCTTGGGTGAGAACCTTCTTCCCTAAGCCAGAGCATTGAAAATGGGTCATGGCTGGGTGTTCCAGCATGACAATGACCCAAAACACACAGCCAAGGTAACAAAGGAGTGGCTCAAGAAGAAGCACATTAAGGTCCTGGGGTGGCCTAGCCCTTCTATTTTTAGACTGATCATTTCTTTGTGAGTGGGCAAACATTCAAAATCAGCAGGGGATCAAATACTTATTTCCTTCACTGTAGGTGCTTGATTTTATACACCATTGGCCATGGAGGTGATTGGAGCACCTGAATCTAATGATTTGGAGGGGTGTCACAATACTTTGTGTGTGTGTGTGTTTATATATATTTTGTAAGTGTGCAGTGTTTCATTTGTGTCTGTTACCTTTAGTGGCTAATGAGGAAGATGAGGCTGATGATAAAGGAGAACTAGGTGGACTGTTCCATGTCAGTCGTCCAGAGAAGGAATCTAAAAGAGCAGCTAATGCCCTGGACTGCTCCAAATTTGTGGTTGAGAGCCCTCAAGACTGGGATGCTGAAGAGGTATGTTTATTTTTTTTTCCCTCTGTATTAGAGTTTTCAAAGCTGTAGTAAACCACTGAAAAAAAGATGGGTCCCCTGCAGGATTCAATTATAATGTACTAGAATGCCCCACTTACTAGCACATTATGACACACTTACCTGCACACGGAGCCCTCCAGTGCAGCACTGTTATGGCTCCCCTGGCACCTCGATCTTCACCCGGTCTTCCTTCTGGTTTTGCAGGCCCTGGCTATCTGAATGGCTGGGGCAGCAATTACATCGCTCCCTCGCATGTGCATGGGAGCCCCGGATTTAGTATGGTGCTTTACACTCAGCGGCATACTGTGTGCCCTGAATGCAGAGTGTCACTGCGCATGCACGGGTGGTGATATTATTATTATTATTATACAGTATTTATAAAGCGCCAATGGTTCGCTCAGCGCTGTACATTACAAAGGGGGACAGAACATGTGACAGAACAATACCAATACAATGCAAAACATGAGGGGATCGAGGGCCCTGCTCTTTGGAGCTTACAATCTAGGAAATCATCGGCTATTGCTGTTGTGAATATCTCCTAAGCAGTGACATCTAAGATATTCATTGTACCTACAGGTAAGCCTGATTGTAAGCTTACCTGTAGGTACAAGTTAAACTAGGGACTTTACTACCACTTTAATACTGTACAATAACCGCTCCCCACCTCCTCTTTATTACAATGCGTGTAGCGTTTGTATCTTCTGGCATCAAGGAGAGTGTGGTAATGATGGGGTCGTAACCTTGAAACACCAACCTGATGCAAATGGGTTGTAGGCTATAAAAGAATCTTTATCTAATTTGGATAAACCCCAGAACACAACGCCTCCTTTATGGAAAACTAATGATGCATTCGAGCTTGGTGCTTATCATGAACTGACTGGCGCAATGCAAGGGAGCCACTTTATATTTTTTGTCCCTTTTTATAAATAACCTGCCTGATGGTAAAGGGGAGCTGATGATATTAATATAGTAGAGGCCTGCTCATAGTCCTCTTGGGAATACCAACCCTTTTTTCTCGATATGCAGGTCATATGAATGTCAATAAGAAATGGGGCCGTATGGTGGCAGCATAGACGCAAGGGTTAAAAGACAAGACTAAGTCTATTTGTCCCCAGGATCCAGGGACCTTCTGAGTGCAAAAAAAAATAAATGTATTTGAATGTCACACTGATACTGTTATGCTATATAAGCAATGTTATTAGTTTAGGATGTGACAGGTTCATTTAAAGTGCAAGAGATTGAGAATTTTTGTTGTTGGACATTTATTTTCCTGTGTGTGTCTTTTAGGTCATGGACTGCATCCTTGACTGTTTTGTAACTGGCAAATGGGAGGCAGATAAAGATGCAGAAAAATTGCTGGAGGAAGATGGTAAGTGCTGCCCACATTTGCTATGCATTATTACATAAAGTGGAAGCAAGGGTGATTTCATTTTAAGGGTTCTAATTTTTGCTGATCTCACTACAGAGAAATCTTCTTCAAAAGATATTGAACAAGTTTGCTGTATTGTACTAAATACTGCATATTGGTTTGCTAGTCATAAATATAAATGTATTTCTGAAGGAAATCATTAATAGAGTTTAATATCCTCCATCTCCACCTCTCAATAACCCTTGAGCAACCCATATGCTTAATGCCTAAAAACCCATCATGTCTATAAACGGTAACAATATTTCTTGTTAGGGCGCTGCCAGTGCCTCTTCATATTTGAGATAATAGCATTTAGGGCAGGTTGAGGTAGGAGCTTATTTTAGACATGTGTCTTTAGTCCATTCCATCTGAAATCAGTGATTGCCATGTCATATATATTGGTGCCATGAGCTAAATCATCAGCTTTTTATGTTCAAGGTCATTATATTCTATTTACGATTATAAGATTGACTTTAGAAAGTAAAATCCGGTCATCCGCATATTTTTTGTCAGGTATCCAGAATATGTGCATAAAGATGAGGTATGCTAAAACCCCCATTATTTTCCAGGAATAGGACAACAAAATTGTAGCCCAAGGTCACTGCTGAAAGACCAGGATGACATTTCTAAGCCTTGGAAAGGTTTTACTATACAGTCAGGTCCATAAATATTGGGACATCGACACAATTCTAACATTTTTGGCTCTATACACCACCACAATGGATTTGAAATGAAATGATCAAGAAGTGCTTTAACTGCAGACTGTCAGCTTTAATTTGAGGGTATTTACATCCAAATCGGGTGAACGGTGTAGGAATTACAACAGTTTGCATATGTGCCTCCCACTTGATAAGGGACCAAAAGTAATGGGACGATTGGCTTCTCAGCTGTTCCATGGCCAGGTGTGTGTTATTCCCTCATTATCCCAATTACAATGAGCAGAATAAAGGTCCAGAGATCATTTCAAGTGTGCTATTTGCATTTGGAATCTGTTGCTGTCAACTCTCAAGATGAGATCCAAAGAGCTGTCACTATCAGTGAAGCACGCCATCATTAGGCTGAAAAAACAAAACAAACCCATCAGAGAGATAGCAAAAACATTAGGCGTGGCCAAAACAACTGTTTGGAACATTCTTAAAAAGAAGGAATGCACCGGTGAGCTCAGCAACACCAAAAGACCCAGAAGACCACGGAAAACTGTGGTGGATGACCGAAGAATTCTTTCCCTGGTGAAGAAAACACCCTTCACAACAGTTGGCCAGATCAAGAACACTCTCCAGGAGGTAGGTGTATGTGTGTCAAAGTCAACAATCAAGAGAAGACTTCACCAGAGTGAATACAGAGGGTTCACCACAAGATGTAAACCATTGGTGAGCCTCAAAAACAGGAAGGGCAGATTGGAGTTTGCCAAACGACATGTAAAAAAGCCTTCACAGTTCTGGAACAACATCCTATGGACAGATGAGACCAAGATCAACTTGTACCAGAGTGATGGGAAGAGAAGAGTATGGAGAAGGAAAGGAACTGCTCATGATCCTAAGCATACCACCTCATCAGTGAAGCATGGTGGTGGTAGTGTTATGGCGTGGGCATGTATGGCTGCCAATGGAACTGGTTCTCTTGTATTTATTGATGATGTGACTGCTGACAAAAGCAGCAGGATGAATTCTGAAGTGTTTCGGGCAATATTATCTGCTCATATTCAGCCAAATGCTTCAGAACTCATTGGACGCCGCTTCACAGTGCAGATGGACAATGACCCAAAGCATACTGCAAAAGCAACCAAAGAGTTTTTTAATGGAAAGAAGTGGAATGTTATGCAATGGCCAAGTCAATCACCTGACCTGAATCCGATTGAGCATGCATTTCACTTGCTGAAGACAAAACTGAAGGGAAAATGCCCCAAGAACAAGCAGGAACTGAAGACAGTTGCAGTAGAGGCCTGGCAGAGCATCACCAGGGATGAAACCCAGCGTCTGGGGATGTCTATGCGTTCCAGACTTCAGGCTGTAATTGACTGCAAAGGATTTGCAACCAAGTATTAAAAAGTGAAAGTTTGATTTATGATTATTATTCTGTCCCATTAATTTTGGTCCCTTAACAAGTGGGAGGCACATATGCAAATTGTTGTAATTCCTACACCGTTCACCTGATTTGGATGTAAATACCCTCAAATTAAGGCTGACAGTCTGCAGTTAAAGCACATCTTGTTCGTTTCATTTCAAATCCATTGTGGTGGTGTATAGAGCCAAAAATGTTAGAATTGTGTCGATGTCCCAATATTTATGGACCTGACTGTATGTCCTACCAGATAGATATCAGGTGCTCAGTCAGACAGTTGTTTTAGCTTGCCAGTATGTCTCAATAGCCAGAGTTATCCGCTCATTCATGGTGTATGTGCCTGAGGTACCAAACAGACTCCCATGTAATCTGATTTCTGAAATGGAAACATATTTGCTTTTCTTGCTGAGTAAATTAGTAGTAGTAGCAATGTCCTAAAAAAGAATAGAGGGTTTTTGGTATAATGTTTTAAATCTGTTTTTTCACAGAAGAACTCTATGGCGATTTTGAAGATTTGGAAACAGGGGAAGTACACAAGGGCAAACCAGAGTCTCAAGATGAAGAGGCAAGAAATTAAAACAACTGAAGACAATCCCTCTTTTCTATAACATATCCAATGTAGTACCCATATGCTCAAAACACATTTTTAATACCAAGCAAAATGGATGGGGAAAAAAAGTCTGTTAAAAAAAAACAATTCGAGTTGCATTAGCATTACCTAAGGTTTCACCCACCCCCCCCCCCCCGAATAGCATATACCTACTTTTAATCTGCTCCCTTACCGTTCTATTCAGTTGCGAGGAATGTGGAAAGTTGCTCTAATTGAATCTTACGCAGGCTCCCATGTGACATTGCTTGGTCGGTCACCAAGGACTTGCCACAGACTTATGTGAAAGTTTTTTTAGTTAGTGTTTTAAATAGCACAGAGTATGGCTTATATATGTTTTACACATTCCCTAGAAAGTGCTTGTATAGCTATATCCTGTGGCATTTAGTAAGCTAAGGAAGTTTTCCACAGTCTAGGTGTGTGGGGAATCCTTCATATTCCTGCTATTTATTTGCCAGCAGGATGAACTGGACCTGCACCCAGCCATAGTAGAAGAGCATGGGAGCTGAGGTCTACCTGAAGCAGTTTGTTTAAAAGACAAGAAGGAAAGAATGAGAGTTGTATTGAGTCCAGAGATGCACTAGTAGATCTCCCTGCTCTAGTGTCATTTAGACATTTGTTGTATTATTGTATTACGCAGAGTGAAGGCGAGGATGAAGAAGGTGATGAGGAGGCAGGGGGCCAGGCTGCTCCTGCAGAGCAAGAAGAAAAGCAACGTCTGGAGAAGAAACGTAAGCTAAAGGAGCGGTTTGATACGGAGTACGATGATGGGGATCCTGAAGCTACATATTTTGATGACCTGAAAGGAGAGATGCAGAAGCAGGCAGAGGTCTGAATTATACACAGTTTTATATTTAAAAGTTTATTTTTCTTTCTATGCTTTATGTGCTTAAAAATCTAATTGTCATTTGTTTCCTTAATATAAATGTGTTTATTTGCCTTGTACTTTCCTGTTGAGAAAGTGAGAAGTCAGTTTATTCATTCACCTTGGTAGTGCTGATTTTCTCCTCCTAAACTTTAGTTTACATTTGACCACTGCATCTACAATATGCCTTCTGCTGATTTTGGCCTTTCATGATTTTCACCCCCAGCTGAACCGCGCTGAGTTTGAAGACCAGGATGACGAAGTCCGCGTTCAGTATGAAGGTTTTCGGCCTGGCATGTACCTCCGCATAGAAATTGAAAATATGCCCTGTGAATTTGTGGTGAACTTTGACCCTCATTATCCAATGATTTTAGGGGCACTGGGAAACAGTGAAGGAAATGTTGGCTATATTCAGGTAATGCTGTTTAATTGCATTGTTACTCCCATGTGTATATTTTGTGTTTGTGTGTATATCTATTGAACTGTCTTTCTTTTTTTTTTTTTTTTTTTTTTTTTTCTTTTTAAAGCAGATAGTTTTTACTTGAAAACCAGTAAGCTTCCATTTTTTTTTTCTTCTCAAAAATAGTCCAAGATAAAAATAAAAAAAACATCAGAGGAGTCTGTCACGCAGGACAGTAACATTAAAACAACCACTGTAAAGATTAGACTGACATATAAAATTGCCATAAATCAAGTCGCCAGACAAAATGCGCACAGACAACCGAAACAATTAAAAACCAAACCTAAACTAATTATAATGTCCTCTGGACAGTTAGTGGTGTAATTTGCCCTATAAGGGTATCAAATGTATGTGACCGAAAGTGGAAGGTGATGCAATTCATCTCAGGTGAGCAATTCCATATTCTATTTGGGATATTAGACCTGAGGCTTCTTCGATGGGTACCTCGTGTGGGCTAGGTGTAGACAGAGGTCTGTCAGTATGAGAGGGAAGTTGATTATCCAAATCTGTATTTATATGTTTGCCGACAGGCTAAGGTGAAAGCTGCCAAAGTATGATTATACAAGGCTGGAAGCCACTTCTCCATTCAACACCCTATCATTGACCATGTGAAAGGGGGCCAGACTGGAAGTACCTAGCCAGGCCTTCCAAAGTTTCGTACATTTACCAGCACCTCTGTGCTGATAGACTAATTTTTCTCGAGATAATGTGTCATTGACAGCCTTAACCTAGCTACTCTGAGAGGGGGAGATGGAGACAGCCATTTTTTAACAGTGAGTTTCCTGGCCAGAAACAAAAGGCAAAGAAAAGCAGTATGTGTGTGGGGTTCATGGTTTTACTCATCCAACCAACCCAATAAGCAGAGTTTAGGATCTAATGAGAGAGTAAGAGAGAACATGATAATAAGCTCTATCAAGGACACCCAATACCGCACCAATTTAGGGCATTTCCACAACATATGTATCAATGTACCATTCTGTACTGCACAGCATGGGAACAAGGGAGTGTCCCTTCTGTGCCATTCATATAGTTTCTGTGGGGTGCGGTGCATGCAATGGATTCTAGAACAATTGCGTGAGTTTTTGGGATGTAGAAACAGATACATAGGAAACGGTAAGTATCGTGGACCACTCCTTGTCCATGATATTTTCTAGGTCTTCAGCCCCATGCGGTTCGCATTTAGGGGTGGTGCCTTAGAGACCTGCTTTATCAAGGCCCAATATATCTAACCCTCTGTAGAGGCACTCGCGTACTATACATACTGTTACTTAATTTTATTTTCTTTTATTACAGGTATTGCCAACATTTTTATGCAGCACTTTATATAATATATATTTACATTAGGCTCTGCTCTCAAGGATTTTGCAGTTTAAGGTCCCTACCTTGCATGCATACATACACATCCTAGGTCCAATTTAGACAGGAGTCAAGTATCGTACCACCGTGTCTTTGGAAAGTTGGAGGAAAAAAAAAAAGTGATAGTCAATATAGTGACTAACTTATAGGATTGTCTGTATGATGAGTGGATTTACAGTGCTACTTTTAATTTTCTGTAGATGAGGCTAAAGAAGCACCGATGGCACAAAAGAATTCTAAAGACAAAAGATCCCCTCATCTTTTCCCTGGGCTGGAGGCGATTCCAAACTGTCCCCCTTTATTACATTGAAGACCACAATGGACGCCACCGGCTTCTCAAGTACACGCCAGAACACATGCACTGTGGAGCCACTATATGGGGTGAGTACTGGATTCTGTAAAGTCAGATAAAAGTAAAGCTTTAACCACTTGAGTTCCGAAAGGTTTTACCCCGTTCATGACCAGAACCTTTATTTTTTCTATTCAGCACTGCATTAATTTAACTGGCAATTGCGCCCTGATGCATAACTGTATGCAAATTAAATTTTTAATTTTTTTTATATAAATAGAGCTTTCTTTTTGTGGTATTTGATCACGACTGGGTTTTTTATTTTTTGTGATATAAACAAGAAAAGACAAAGTTTTGAAAAAAAAAAACCCCCCACTATTTTCTACTTTCTGTCATAAAATATATCCAAAAAAAACAAAACAAATTGCATCATAAATTTAGGCCAAATTGTATTCTGCTACATGCCTTTGGTAAAAATAATCCCAATAAGTGTGTATTGGTTTGTTTGAAAGTTTTAGCATCTACAAACTCTGGTATATACAGTAGATTTGATCAGCTCTGATGTCCTGACTGTCTATCTTATTTCTTGAGGCCCTTAAATTCCAGGACAGTACAAATTCCTCCCAAATGACCGCTTTTTGGAAAGTAGTCTGAGGCATTTAGTACGAGGCATGGCAATTTTTTTTTTTTTAATTGTATTTTTTTTCTCACAATTTCTTTGGAAATGAAGAAATTAAATTCAAAAAAAGTTTTTTACAAATTTTTTTTTTTTGCATACTTTTACCAGTGCACTGCAGCGTCATTGTATGACTGGTGCAGTGGTGAACAGAGGCATTGACTAGTGACACTGTTTTTAATAAAAAAAAAAAAAAAAATTTTAAACTTGTTTTTTTCATTAACTTTTTTTTTTAAATTACTTGCTATTTTTTTTTTTACTTTAATCAGAGTATTTCAGTGTCACCATAGTAACCCTGTACTACTGGGGGGGTGGGGGGGGGGGGGGAAATCTGGGATTTTTTTTTCACACTTTATTACAATGAAGATCATTGTAACAGCAAAGTTTTCAACTGTCATGAATGGGTTACATTTATGAGAGCTGTGATCACTACTGATCTCTGGCTACAGCTAATCGCATGGTACAGGGTGCTGCTGTGATTGGCCCAGGTACTATGTGATAGCTGTGGGCCAATCACAGCATAGGAAACACAGCTGTTATGAATAACTTCATTCAGAACAGCTTTGTTGACATTGTGATCATGTGATCACATAGCCATCACATGATCACCGGGCCCAGAGTACTGGGATCCGCAATGTGCTGTTTTTGGTGCACACAGCTGTCACGGGGGGCAAATGTGTGCTGCTTGCTCCTGAACCAAAGTAGGCAAAATGATTACATGTGCACAAAGCTCAATTCACCTACCAGCATGTCTTTGGAGTGTGGGAGGAAACCTAGAGTACCCGGAAGAAACCCACGCAGGCACAGGGAGAACACGGAAACTCCAGGCAGGAGGTGCTGTGGCTGAGATTCAAACCATTTACCTCAGTACTGCCAGGCGGAAGTGCTAACCATTTAGCCACTGTGCTGCCCAAGATTGGTCCCCTGCTCCCCATTAACTATTGGCACCTTTGGGGGGAGGGGGGGGGGGGGAATGGGTACCCGCTCCTACTTCCCGCTGTGATCACCTAGGTGATTGGAAACGGAAGTTGTCCTACCATCCCTCCCCGAAGTCTTGCTTCTAGCGCTGTCCCTCCCACTCCCAGTCTGAATGGCTTCTAGCGCTGTCCCTCCCACTCCCAGTCTGAATGGCTTCTAGCGCTGTTCCTCCCACTCCCAGTCTGAATGGCTTCTAGCGCTGTCCCTCCCACTCCCAGTCTGAATGGCTTCTAGCGCTGTCCCTCCCACTCCCAGTCTGAATGGCTTCTAGCGCTGTCCCTCCACTCCCAGTCTGAATGGCTTCTAGCGCTGTCCCTCCCACTCCCAGTCTGAATGGCTTCTAGCGCTGTCCCTCCCACTCCCAGTCTGAATGGCTTCTAGCGCTGTCCCTCCCACTCCCAGTCTGAATGGCTTCTAGCGCTGTCCCTCCCACTCCCAGTCTGAATGGCTTCTAGCGCTGTCCCTCCCACTCCCAGTCTGAATGGCTTCTAGCGCTGTCCCTCCCACTCCCAGTCTGAATGGCTTCTAGCGCTGTCCCTCCCACTCCCAGTCTGAATTGCTTCTAGCGCTGTCCCTCCCGCTCCCAGTCTGAATGTTGATGCAGGAGGTGACTGGAGGCAGATATTGAGACAAATTCAGGTTCTTACACTATTTTAAAAATGATTTTTTTTTTAAATAAATGCACAACTGCTTTAGTTGATGATTTTTTTTTTATCTGCCTGAACTCCAGCTTCAAGTCAAATGTTGAATTTGTAATAATTTTGATAATTCACACAACTAATTTGTTTAACTGTTTGTGTTCAGGGCCCATCATCCCCCAAGGAACTGGCTTTCTGGCTGTTCAGTCTGTTAGTACCACAACAGTGAGTATATACCCTACATTACCTAAATTTAGTGATTTTTAATAAATGCTATCTAAATTCAAAAATAAAAATTGATGGAATTACAACTTACTGGTGGCTGCATTAGTTTTTTCCTTTTCACTTTTTTTTCCTCCTTTATTTTAACCTTGTAATTCTAACACACTTTCTGTATTAATGAACAACAAGTGCCAGCCAGCCAGAATCTAGCAAGTTGACAGCAATACACAGACAGATAGCACAAGAAGTTACCGGTTAGCGCTGTTCCCTGTTATGTCCATGGACTACAAATCACCTCCCCTGCTATGGAGAAGAGAGAAAGGTGTTATGTAGTCCTAGCACAGTGTTATGTAGTCCTAACATATTCCCTTTCTTAGGCTGACAATGCCATTCAATACAGAGCAAGAACTGAGCTCCCTGTATGGCTCTCTGTGCAGCAGCTAGAAGCCGCTGCTCCTCCTCTCCCTCCCGTGGCTTTCAGCAGCCTCATGAAGAGCCCTAGAGCAAGATCAGTTCTTGTAATTGCACAACGCTGCCACACCGATCACTCCCAACTGTCAATGGGGTTCCTTCTGCTGCCCAGGCCCCACTGTGTGATACCCCTCTTCCCCCAGCAGCGCTGCTGACTTCCCTCCTCTCCCGCTGGCTGCTGTGGGGAATGTGTCAGGATTTAGAGCAGGGTAAGTGGCCAGTAAATATGTCATCTACCAACCCCTTTCTTGTCTAAATGAGCAGAGTGAATGATCGGTACCAACTCTGTTCATTCAGGACTGAAACATAGTAAACGGTTACTCTATGGGGACGAAGCAGCTGTACGAACACAGCCACAAGTCCTAGTTTGACAGGTGTGTGAGTGGGTCTGAATGCACATGATCTGTGTTTGGGGCATACACCTACACCCACATGCCTGTCATATTAGGACCTGTGGCTATATTCATACAGTTGCTGCATTGCCATAGCATAACATAGGCTGCCTGCACACAGCTCCAGCCACATGAAAAAAAAAAATCTGGTTCACAATGGTCAAGCCATATCACCCATATGAATGGTCCCCAAGACCTTATTCACATACAGAGCTTTATTAACTCAGTACAGTTTAATCTTTTAGATTTAGCAGGAATTTTATAAGTTATGTTGTGTATGTGTCCACTAATAATGATTTTATTGTATTTTTTTGTGAAAAGGAAATGATGACACAGGAAATAGTTTAAAATCTCACAAAAAAGCAGGTAAACGCATAATGAGATGAAAAAAAACCCCATAAGAAACTAAAAAAAAAAAAAAAGTTTGCATATTAGCAAGCTGCTGCCTTGATCAGCTCCTTCTCTCAAATAAAAGAGTAGACCTCACCATTGAAGACATCTGAAGGGGACATTGGGTAATACTGTGTTAGCCATGACAGCTGGTCGGTGATATACATTTCTAATAGGATTGTGTTTCTTTTCTTATAGGCAGATTTTCGTATAGCTGCTACCGGTGTTGTCCTAGATCTGGACAAATCTATCACCGTGGTGAAGAAACTGAAATTGATAGGATATCCCTGCAAGATTTATAAAAATACTGCTTTTATTAAGGTAACATCTCACTGCACTGCTGTCTTGTTTAGGGATTTTGAACTGGTGTTTTCCCCATATAAGTTATATAAAATACTTTAAAGTGATTGTAAAGCTGTATTTTTTTATTTTTTTCATAAAACAAACATGTTATACTTAACTGCTCTGTACAGTGGTTTTGCACCGAGCAGCCCTGGACCTCCTTTTCTGGGGTACCCCACCGACAATCTTGGCTCTTTCTTCCCACTGAGCACCCTTCATAGGGTGCTATGGGGGTACTCATGCAGGCTCACTCCCAAGCTTACTTTTTGTCTGTAAACACACAGAGCGTGGCTCGGCTATGCTCTCCTCCCCCCCTCACTGGCTGTGTTTGACAGCAGCTGGAGCCAGTGGCTTCTGCTGCTGTTTGAGCCCATGAGGAGGGAGAGAGCTGAGGGAGTCACTGCTCTTGTGCACATTGCTGGATGGAGATCAAGGTCAGGTAAGTATAAGTGGGTCTTGGGGGAGTTGGACAAATAAGGTTTTTTCTTTTTACCCTAAAGTATAAGTTCACCTTTGGGAACGTTAAATGTTCCAATCACTGCACTTGCTGCCTGATTGTAGTCATGTGGCAAGATAATATTTTGTTAATATTTTTTAAGGGACAGATTTTTCAGGAGTTGCTAGCCTGGGTGAATAGATGTGTCTTCAGCACGGCTCCGTAGACGCACAAGTCAGGAGAGTGCATACAGCGTGTGTCCCCATAGCAAACAGCTTGCTAGGGGGAACACACAAAGAAGAGGAGGGGCCGAGATCACCAGCGGGGGACCTGAGAAGGAGGATCGGGACCAGTTTGGTCAATACGACACAGAGCAGGGGAGTATAACATGTTTGTTATTTTAATCGAAAATAATTTCAGACTTTAGTAACATTTTAAGCCAAAAGGTTGATTAGAGTTGTAATCATGGCACATGGTGTTTTCTGTAATAGGTGAGGGATCGTTTACAGGTTTTTGAAGAATCGTTAATCAAATCTGAACTTTTGCAGAAGAGATTTTTAATCCCTAAGAGTGATGTGACATGACAGCATTACCAGAGTGCACATCGGCAATCTACAGCTGGCCACACATGTTACAATCTGATTGAACAACCTTGTGGAGAATTGTCAAAATCTATGTAGTGTTAATCCTTGCGTGGACAATTGAATGCAACATGTGTGAGCAGCATGAAGGGGATATTTATTTTCACCCTTATTTGTTTGTATTGGACTGATGTGTCTTAATGTTTAGTTTATAGAAAAACATTTACATGTCCTTTTGGTTTGCTACTATTTTTTCCCCCCAATATTTCACATTTTTTTTTCTTAGGGGATGTTCTCTTCTATCCTTGAAGTGGCAAAATTTGAAGGCGCCGCAGTCCGCACGGTGAGTGGTGTTCGAGGGCAGATCAAAAAAGCCCTGCGGACCCCAGAGGGGGCTTTTAGAGCAACATTTGAGGACAAGCTCCTAATGAGTGGTGAGTAATTTGTGCTTATGAGAAGTGCAACTTTCTGGATGTCATCCATACATGCTGGTCAAAAACCCTGCTGGCTGAGGAGTGTCAGACATTTTTCATCTCTGTATGCATCTTTGATTTTCTTTAGTGTGCTTTATTTCCCTGAAGAAAAGTTCTTTGATAAATGGAGTAACGTGACAATTGGTACATCGTTCACAGTATTTATGTGGTAACTGACGTGAAGAGAGCTTGTTCTGGCAGACAAACGGTGGTTGAGTCTAAGGCTAGGTTCACACCTATGCAGTTTGTGTTTTCAGCCATTTCTGCATTGCGTTTCGCGTTTTTTTGCACTTGCGTTTTTGATGTGTTTTTAATGCCTTTTGTGTTTTTTTTTTTTTTCCTTGTTGCTAGGCAGATTTAAAACTCAGCAAAAACACAATACATGCTTTTCTGCAGCGTTTCCATTGAAGTGATCAGAACCAAAAACGCGAATTTTTGCTTTCAAAAAAGTCCCTGACCCTTTCCAAAAACCACACCGGGTGAAAAACGCACAGAGGTGAACATGTCCCATAGGAAATCATGTTAAATGGACTGTACTGCGTTTCTGCAAAACACTGCAGAAAACACTTATGTATGAACCTAGGGTAATGAAGGCAGGTGGCTTTAGCACTCAGAGGGAAGAGTCTGCTTGTCAGTCAAGTGTATCCTGTGGAAGCCATTGCTGCTGAGGCAGCATGTGTGATATGGCACTGGGAGTCGAGGCCTGCCTGGTCACACAAAAGGACAAAGCGACAGTGATTTTTTTGGGCCACTGTATTTGCATGACAGCTAGGCAGTTGGCATTTTCAGAAGTAGAGGTCAGCAGTGGTAGCTTCCATGCTTTTTTCATAACAGTTTCCTTTAGGAATAATTGGGAAACCTAAATAGGTATTCTAAGTATTGAGTTGGTCATCTTTTGGAGGTGTACTGTGTCTACCAGTATACAGTATCTGGATTCCTTTTCACCCATTTTTTACCTTTCTTGCTCTCTCCCTCCTGTTAGATATTGTATTTCTCCGCACCTGGTACCCAGTCACTGTGCCCACCTTTTATAATCCGGTCACCTCGCTGCTGAAACCTGTGGGGCAGAAAGAGACCTGGACAGGAATGAAAACCATTGGGCAGCTGAGGCATGAGCTTGGCATCAAACAGAAGCAACGGAAAGATTCTCTGTACAAGGTACTTGCAAGCTTTATTCAAATGAAAGTAGACATGATACCAACAAACATCGGTCTATTATGGTATGTGAAAACAAATGTTCCTTTCTGTGTTTCAGCGGATAGTGAGACAAGAAAGACACTTTAATCCACTGCACATTCCCAAAGCTCTGCAGAAAGCTCTTCCATTTAAAAATAAGCCCAAAATGATGGAGAAGAAGGGCAAGATAACAAGAGACAAAGTGCGGCCAGCTGTAATTAGAGAACCTCATGAACGCAAGGTAGGAGCACCATAACTTTTCATAATGATTTTGAATACATGTGTAGTGCTCAAATAAAAAAAAAAAACACATAGAAATCTGCTTTTTTTTTTTTTTTTTTTTTTTTTTTTTTAGACTATTCTGATGTTTGCTTGGTGGACTAGGGTTCAGTCATATAAACACTATGGGGGTTATTTACTAAAACTGGAGAGTGGAAAATTTGGTGCAGCTCTGCATAGAAACCGATCAGCTTCCAGGTTTTATTGCCAAATCTTAACTGAACAAGCTGAAGTTAGAAGCTGATTGGCTACCGTGCACTGCTGCACCAGTTTCAGTAAATCTTCCCCTATGGCTCTACAACAGTGCTGACCAATCTTTTGACTTTTCCGGGCCACACTGGAAGTAGAGGAATTGTCTTTGGCTACACATAAAATATGTTATCTATACTCAGCTGATGAGCAGAAGTTGGGCAGATCACACGTTAACAATCACTGACATAATGATACCTATCTAAGTAGCAAAACCTAATTTTTTTTTTATAAAAGTAAAAGGGCAACATAAAACTAGTGTGATACTTGACACTGTGATAAACTAACGCATTCTCAATAAATTCTCAAGGTGCTTATCAGATATTTTGGTTCTAATTTTTCCCTTCGTGTTGCTCACAAATATAGGCGTTGCTGAAAACTGATGAATAGGGAGTGATTGTGAAAAGTGGGATTGTTTTCTTTGGGAAGATAAAACCTATAAGTCCCAATAACGACACTGTAAAATGTTTTCTTTGGCTGCACGAAGTGTAAATTTTATTGTTACAAAAAAAAAAATCAACATTTTTAAGCAAGTTTACAATTGTCTGTTGGGCAACATTCATAGCCGTCTTGGGCTGCAGAGTAAGCACCCCTGCTCTATGGGTCACTATGGTTTCTGAATAATCATGTTGCATTATCAGATTTCATCAGTAGGTGACACTGCAGAGGAAATCAATCAGTGAACCTTTAAAATAAATCCGTAATCCAGAAATAGAGGATTCTTCCACCTTATGATACAAGTACCCAAGATATTTCTGTTAACCCTTTCATGACCAGAGGGTCATTAATGCATAGATGGCCACACCTAATTGAGTCTGTAATGCTTGACCCACAACTCTAATTTAGCTACTTAAATAATTTTACATGAACTTTTAAGGACACGGCTTTTATCTGCTCAGTTTTTTACGCAGCAGGTGATCAATGTAATTGGCTTGCCATGCAGATTGAATACCTACTGACTGTTCGCATAGACTGGACCTGATTGAGACGGTGTGGTCTGATAAACTCGTGTATGCTCCCAGCTGTCAAAAAATATAGATGAACATTCCCAAGGCTTGTTGTGCCTCAGAACATTAAGCTTTAGATTGTGGATACCTAACCGTTACACTGGAAATTTCTTTAACATTAGAAGGCTTTAATAAACATGCTTCAATTGTGTCCTTTGTAGATAAGTGCTCTCCTTGCTGCTTTGGGCACAGTAAATAACTACAAGAAACAGAAGGCCAACACAAAACACAAAGCACAGAGGAAGGATTTTATGCACAGCAAGCAAAAGGAGGAGGAGGACAAACTGAAGAGGCAGAAGGAAGCCAGGAAAAAGCTTTTCCGTGCAATCGGACAAAAAGAGAAGAAAAAACAGAAGTCAAGTCTCAAAGGCAGCAAAGAACTCAGCTGACAATCCTGATCTTTACAGATGTACAGATTTCTTTAATGTGTCTGCCCACTCCTGGGGTTTTATTTTTTATTGCCAAAAAGTCTAATGGGTTTATTCAGTAGAGCAGTGCTGAAGGGCGATATGGAATAACCAGTAACAGCCAATCAGATTTCAGTTTGCTGTATCCCCACAGTGTTCTGTGGTACGGATTTTCTTGCACTCTTAATAAGCCTGTTGCTATATAAAATTTTTTAATGCAGATAAATTTATCTTCTACTCTATTAGGAGTAGAAGCATGTATATAACACAATGTTAAAGCATGTCTAAACTCAAAAACAAAAGTGTAATATATTGCAACTTACCAGTCCTTCCATGTGGTCGTTTTCTCAGGATAGGTACATTGTCAGTAAGTACAGAAAAAACCTGTCAATCTTGTCAGATATGTAATGTCCTTGTCTCTTTCTGTAAACTGAGAGGAAGTTGTTTACAAAGTCCCAGACTGGGTGACAGCTATGGCTCCATATACATACATATATACATACATATATATATTGGGCGGCACAGTGGCTTAGTGGTTAGCACGCCTGCCGTGCAGTAAATGGGTCGTGGGTTCAATTCCCAACCATGGTTCCTTCTGCATGGAGTTTGCATGTTCTGCCTGTGCTTGCCTGGGTTTCCTCCAGGTACTCCGGTTTCCTCCCACACTCCAAAGACATGCTGGTAGGTTAATTGGCTCCTGTCTAAATTGTCCTAGTTTTATACCTCGCCATGTGGGATCTCCTGCATGGTAGGGGTTGGGGAAAGACCTGGCAACCTACCCTGTAAAATAATAAAAGAGAATTCATGGAAAAAGTCACTTACGAGTAACAGTCCATGCAATCACCAAGGGTCGGATACGACTGAATGGATGGATAGATCTATATTATACACAGTGGAGAAATGAGTGTAGTGCATAGCATTACCGGGTGAAAATAAAGAGAAATGGTCTAAGAAAAAGGAACCAATGCAAACACCACATCCAGTAAGCTGTAATATAATACATTTTTGTCTTTGACTTTGGATGCACATTAAGGTTTTCTTGCCCCAGGCTTTCATATAAAAGGATGGAGCACAATTACAATTTAGACACTGTACAGATAGTAGATTTGTAGGTGACAGGTGCAGCTTTTTTTTTTTTTTTTTAAAAGGTGTTTAAAGATTTGTGAATAACTTTATTTTTGAAGTATATGTTGCCTGTAGAATTTGCTGTCTGTGCATTGGTAAACCAATATAAAATACATTACCCCAAAACAGATGTGTGAAACGCAATTTTTTCAGGGAAAATTTACTTTTTTGCCAATGTGTTTTCTCTAACAAATTTTAAATTGTATGGCATATCCTAATTAAAAAGAACACTTTTTTTTTTTTTTTTTGTCATTCATTACTGGAAAAGCAATACTCGGACACATCCGCTAGTATTAGCAATCAGTAAGGTGTCTGTAGTGTTTTTACATTTGGTTCTATGTGTATATCGTGTTTTCTTTGGGCTACTGTTAAAAAAAAAACAAAACAAAAAACTTTCAATAAAGGTACAAAAAAAAAAAAGTCCATAAACAGCCGCATGATATGCTGACATTTATTCCTATGGCTTCCTTGTAACTTGCACTGCTGCTGCAAAACAGAAAAAATCCCAGCTTATTGAAGCTCAGGTATCTGAACAAATTGAATGGACATAGGTGTTGGTGAACCCTAATAATGAACTTCTCGTATTTGCTCCCTTTTTATTATGCTAAATATACTGTTGAAAGCATTGTGTGTATATATGTTCAAAAAGTGTAAAAAATACCTGTTGTTCTGCCAGAAATCCAGAAATGTTCTGTGCCCTGCGTACACTGATGTCTTGTCTTATCGGCTATGTTTAGCCTCAAAGGTTACTACTGTGAGCTACAGAACACCTTTCCTCTGTAATGGAGAGGAGAATGTGTTCTGTAGTCCTGTCCTAGGTTGACTGTGTGGGTTCCCTTAAAGACAGAACAGCGAGTTAGCGTAGGACCGGAATTATTGCTACTAGCCAGAATCACAAGCTGAAAATGAAGGAAATAAAGAAAATGAATGCAGCCACCACATTTAAAGTGTTACTAAACCCACAACAGTAAAATCAGTCTATATACAGTATAGCATGCTTGATATACACACTGTGGAACCTAAGGGGTTAATCCTCTGCATTGTGTACAAATGCCATTTCATCCTGAGTTCTCTGAGCCCTCCCCTTTTTCCAGTGTCCCCCTCTCAACTCCTGATAAGACATATCGTGTGGAGACATTCTGCACATGCACAGTTTGGTTTGTATTGCTAGAAAGGTTTTTTTTTTTTTTAAGTTGGGAAAGTGCATGTGATCAGCAAAGGACCAATCAGCTCTGTGTCCAGACAGAGGTCAACGGTTCTGCATCCTCCTAGAGCAGAAAGAAAACAACTCCTACAAGTTTTAACCAGTGATCTGCTGGACATTGATAGAAGTCACAAGAGTGCTCTAACTGCTGATTAGAAAAGGTATTTAGCAGTTTATATTTACTAAAATTGAATTTCCATGTTCTGTGTACTGTGGGAGACCAGACAGAGCAAATGCAGGGTCCTGAGTTTAGTAACGCTGTAAGGGCTGGTAATCTGCAATATGTTACATGGTTTCTCTTAGGTTTAGATAGCCTAATAAATAAAAAAAAAAAAAAAAAAACTGTTTAGACATTTACTTGTAAATAAATTGTAGGCAAATGCACAGATATAAACCCATTCTGCGAAGTGCTGTCTTAGTTTCACTGAGATTGATTGGCAGGCAGTAGAAGCAGCTGAAGTGTGTTGGGATAGTGTTGCCTGTATATCCCCACCATGTTTGCGCCATTGGTTTAGAGGAAGAGGGACCTCTCTTCAACTGGCTAAGCTGTGACATGGATTTCCTATTGAGGGCATGTGACCTGATAATTTTCATGATTGGGGCTAGCCTGTTAGTAGCATGCTTAGTGGTCATAATCATCTACCACAGATACATCAGCCACAGACACAAGATCTACACACAAGCTACCTGTACATCTGAGAGTTTGTAATCTTTATTTTATTATGCTCTGTCAGTGCACTTTAAATGTCCTGGTTTTATGAATACGCAGCTTGATGTTAACAATTAAAGTGGAGTTCCAGTCATGCCCTAACTAAGCCTGAATCTACTCCCACCCCCCAATCTAAGTCTATTCTATCTACCCTGTACAAGAAAAGATACCTATTCTGAAGCCGCCCTGATCCAGTCATATGACCGGCTTCCAATTCCAGCTTCAGTGTAGAAGAGACAATGGCCGTAGGGTCGTGGGCTTTGGCATCACCCATAGACTTACTAGCCATTGCTAGCTCTCCCTCCTCTGCACAGACGTCCATCATGTGACTGGCACTTTAGAATAGGTAAGTATAGACCTACTTTCTTTTGCAGGGTAGATAGAATAGTCTTAGGATGGGGAGGGAGTAGATTTAGCCTCTGTTTGGGTGTAAGTCATTTTAGATGCCTGGCATAATTTCCTGGTGTTTTTCCAATGCCTGGGAACCTGCAGGTGTCTTGTGTACAGCCTGTCATACAAGCGAATAGCTGGTTTTGACCATGCCCTTGTAAACAGATTCTTTTTTGCACGCGCAAAGCTGCACATGCACGTCCAATGTATTTTGTGGTGTGAACGGCTTTTTTTAAAAAATAATTTTTATTGAGTTTCAAAATGCTTACAACAAACAGAATTGCATAGAATCGTGAAATAACAATCAGATAGCATAAAAGAACAGAAAATTAGGCTCATCGATGAGAGGCATATAGGTACATACAATGTCAATACATACCCGTGAATTAGACATTGTTTTCAGACAATTGAGTAGGCAGATCAGAAATGGAAAGATCCTATGGTTCCCAAACTGCTTCAAAGATGGGACAGAGTTAGCATGCAAAGCAGTGAGGTACTCCATTCTTCTAATCTCTGCTATAACCTTCACCAATTCCGATCGTGTAGGAGGCATGGTAGAAAGCCAATGCATGGGAATGGTTCTCCTGGACACTGTTAAAACATGGGAGTATAGTTTCCTGGCAAATTTGGAGAGGCCTGAAAAAGGTAGGCCCAACAAAAAAATGGAGCTCAAATGAAATAGGAGCCTGTAAAAGGAGCTGCAAAAGGTTAAGGACCTCTCTCCAAAAGGGTGCAATGTGATGGAAAGTCCAGAAATTGTGGAAGAGAATGCCAGTTTTCCTCGCCACATCGCCAGCAGACAGAAGAAACATTTCAGGAGTCTTATACCAAAACATAAGTATTTTATAAGTGTTTTCTTTATATACTACACATACAGAAGATCTGGAGGCAGCCTCCCAAATCCTACTCCATTGATCCAAGGCAATACCACCTTGGAGGAGTCAGGGCCATTTGCACATATAAAGGTGTGTATCAATAGAAAGGGGACAGGTGTCTTGAAGCAGCTTATAAGTAGAGGAAATTATGCCCCGTTGGTATGAACGCTGAATGCAGATACGTTCAAAGGGACTAGGCTTCTCAAGAGTTAAAGACGGGGCTTTGGAGGAGAAAAAGTGATGTATCTGTAGATAAACATAATGCTGCTGAGGTGACATACGGGTGGCTTTTTGAATCTCAGAAAAAGGATTTAAGCTTATGAGTCACTGGTTTACCAAGTGTTGCAGCTGAAATAGATTGGCCTAGGCCCAGGGACTCATGCAAGCCAAAGCCAAACTATCTGGGAGACTGGGCTTAAGTATGACATTGGTCAGGGGGAACACAGGGAAGACAAGGCGAATTTAACCCTACACTGCTGCCATATAGATAACGTGAAATGCATGGGCCCAAGCAGGGGAGGTTTGTGGGAGATGGTTTCAATGTTGGTCATGGACCAGAGTAGAGAACAAGGGTGCGCTGGACTTAATTGTAGCCATTCAATTTCGGCCCATTTAATAGGGGGGCGCTGGGAGGCCCACAAGACAAGAGCATGAAGGTGAGTAGCTAAATAATACGACACAATGTCTGAGGCCCCCAGATTGAGGAGAGAGGACAGTACGGGCAATTCAGTGAGATCTATTATGCCAGATGAAGTGGAGGAAGGACTTTTGAAGGGAGCGCAACTTGGACATGGGGGGAACAGGAACAAACAGAACAGAAGGCCAGTACGGTAATTTTTAGCATATTAATCCATCCAAGGAAGGAGATGGCAAGATTGTCCTAGGATTTTAAGGATTGAGAAATTGCATGAAACGGGGGAGAAATTAGCTTCATAAAGGAAGTGGTATGAGGAGGTAAGGTTGGTACCTAAATACTTCAAGGCGTGGGGGCACCACCGATAGGGATAATTTAACTGAAGAGAAGCTAGAACTGTAGATGGTATGTGGAGTGGTAATGCTTCAGTTTTAGATGCGTTAACCTTATAGCCCGACAGGGCAGTTTAACCACTTGCCTACTGGCCTCTTATACCCCCTTCCTGCCCAGGCCAATTTTCAGCTTTCAGCGCTGTCGCACTTTGACAATTGTGCAGTCATGCAACATTGTACTCATATGAAATTTTTATAATTTTTTTGAGGACAGAGCTGTCTTTTGGTGGCATTTAATCACCACTGGGTTTTTATTGGTTGCTAAACAAACCAAAAACAACTGAAAATGTTGAAAAAAAAAAAATGTATTTCTGTCTTAATTTCTGTTATAAAATTTTGGAAATAAGTGATTTTTCTCATTCACTAATGTGCGCTAATAAGGCGGCACTGGTAGGTGGCACTGATGGGCATTGACAGACATCACTGAAAGGCAGCACTCATATATGGCACTGTTAGGTGGCACTGACTGGCAGCACTGACTGGCACTGTTAGGCGGCACTGACAGGCAGCACTGAGTGGCATGGATAAGTGGCACTGATAGTTGATACTGAAAGGCAGCTCAGATGGGCACTGATATGTGGCATTGATGTGCACTGGTAGGCATTGATATGTGGCACTCATTGGCACTGGCAGGTGGCATTGATGGACACTCACAGGTGGCACTGATGAGGCTACACTGGTCATCAGGGCACTGATGATCAGTGTACATGGCCCCCCCTGAGGAATGCCAATTACCGGCTCGCCTCTCATCATGAGCTGTCAGCCGATGTCATTGGCTCCTTCCGATGATCGGTGATCTGCTGTGTCCCGGGGACACAGCACAACACCGATCGCCACGCTCCCCAGGGGCGTGTACGCGTGGTTAGAGTGGGAGAATGTCATATGACGTCCTCCCAGCGAGAGAGCCACTGCCCGCCCATCATTTCCTAATATGGCGGGCGGGAGACAGTTAAAGTCACTGTTATGGGTGCGTATCCCATGGATATCCGGATTGGATCTAATATCTATAGCCAGGGGTTCCAAACAGAGGATAAACAACAAGGGAGAAAGTGGGCATCCCTGGCATGTACCATTGGATATCCGAAAGGAAGGGGATAAAAACAACACTAATTTGACCTGGAAGGAGGGATTGGAGTAAAGGGCTTTTAAAGCAGCAACAAACAGACCACTAAACCCAAATCTCTCCAGGACTAAAAACATGTATGGCCAACTAAGTCGGTCAAATGCTTTTTGGGCGTCGAACGGCTCTTTTTTGAGTAAACTATTGAGGGAACTGTAATGGTTTGGGATCATTTTTATTATATATTTTAGAGTTGATATGTTTTTACATTTTCTTTTTTTGCTAAATATAGAATTTTTTTCTTTATAATTTAACACATAGTCCAATATAAATGATTCTGAGAGCACTAGGGGTTAGGTAAAGAGGACACAGCAGACCGTTTTTGCTTTGACGGTACATTCATCTAAATGAACCTTGGATGACAAGAGATGGGTAACACTGCTTTGATGACTCCTTTAGGTATGTGAGCAGTGGGAATCTATCAGCAAATGGATACTGCTCCAAGAAAATGTGATTTGAGCTCCACTCGCTGGATGTATAAACAACTACATAACATGAGCATTTCATCTTTTGTCCGGGGGTACTCCAGGGCAAACAGTCTGTATTTTACACTTTTACCCTGTTAATAATATTGATATAGTATGTTTTAAGTATATGTACTGTAATTTAACTTGTTCAATAATTGCAGTCAGCAATGCATAGAGTTAGTCTATTGCTGCATGTGTTGCCATGAGAGTGCCACATTTTTCAAACCACATTGAAGTAATGAAATACAGAGTTCAGACTTTTATGAAGTTTGTATTGCTTACTTTGCTTTTTCCAGTGCATAGTTCTTAAGCACAACACAAATGTTTAATTACTGGACTTCAACCATTTACTATCTTCTGGCTTCCCTCCCCTTGTTATCCCAGATGCAATAGCTCATTATGTAGCAGGACTTCAAGTGCAAAGCTCAGTGGGCCTTTCTCACCATGGCAGATAGACGCTGTGCAGCCCTGCTCCTTGTTCTAGGGGTTTCCTTGGTGTGCTTTACTGCAGGTAAGGCTGATATTAATATACACTGCTCAAAAAAAAAAAAAATTAAAGGAGACATTTCATGTCAAATAAACTTCAGGGATATTGATCTGGTCAGTTAAGTAGCAGAGGGGGTTGTTAATCAGTTTCAGCTGCTTTACTGTTAATTAAATTGACAGTTGCACTAGATGGGCAACAATGAGGTGATCCACAAAACAGGAATGGTTTTACAGGTGGAGGTCACTGACATTTTTTTTTTTCCCTACTCATCTTCTCTGACTGTTTTTCACTAGCATTTTGCTAGGGTTGTTGTCACTACTGCTAGCATGAGGTGATACCTGGACCCTACAGGGGTTGCACAGGCAGTCCAACTCCTACAGGATGGCACATCAATACGTGCCATTGCCATAAGGTTTGCTGTGTCTCCCAGCACAGTCTCAAGAACATGGAGGAGATTCCAGGAGACAGGCTGTTACTTTAAAAGAGCTGGACAAGGCTGTAGAAGGTCATTAACCCACCAGCAGGACCGGTATCTGTTCCTTTGTGCAAGGAGGAACACGATGAGCACTGCCAGAGCCATACAAAATGACCTCCAGCAGGCCACTGTTGTGAATGTCTCTGAACAAACAATCAGAAACAGACTTCATGGGAGTGGCCTGAGGGCCAGATGTCCTCTATTGGGTCCTGGGCCCATTGAACACCAAAATTGGCTACAGGCACTCTGTGCTTTTCACAAATGAGAGTAGGTTCACCCTGAGCACATGTGACAGACGTGAAAGGGTCTGCAGAAGCCGTGGGGAACGTTCTGCTGCCTGTAACATGGTTCAGCATGACCGTTTTGGTGGTGGGTCAGTGATGGTCTGGGAAGGCATATCCATGGAGGGATGCACAGACCTCTACAGGCTAGACAATGGCACCCTGACTGCCATTAGGTATCGGGATGAACTCCTTGGACCCATTGTCAGACCCTAAGCTGGTGCAATGGGTCATGGGTTCCTCTTGGTGCACGGCAATGCCTGGCCTCGTGGCGAGAGTATGCAGGCAGTTTCTGGAGGATGAAGGAATTGATACCATTGAATGGCCCCACGCTCGCCTGACCTAAATCCAATAGAACACCTCTGGGATATCATGTTTCGGTCTATCCAAGGCCGGTCCTCCAGATCTGGGAGGAAATACCCAAGGACACTATACATTGTTTTATTAGGATCATGCCCCGAAGTTGTCATGCATGCATACAAGCATGTGGGGGCCATACTAACTACTGAGGACCATTTTGAGTTGCTGCAATGAAATTTTGCTGCAGCAATATGGACTTGCCTGCTGCATAATTTTTTCACTTTGATTTTCAGGTTGTCTTTGAATTCAGCCCTCTGTAGGTTGATAATTTTCATTTCCATCAAACGATGGGGCATCCTTACTTTCCTAACACATTACTCTGTCCATATCAGTATAGATATCGAGCATGAGATTTTTCCTCATTGAGATCTGATGTGTTTTCAAAGTGTTCCTTTAATTTTTTTGAGCAGTGTAGAAGCAATTACATGTTTTCTGACTTGCATTTGGACTGAAATACTAAAAATAACTACCCTCTGTCTTGATAAAAAAAAAAAAGGGTCAGTCTTTGCTTACCTGAAAATGCTGATTGCCTGTCCTTGGCTTTAGCAATTTGAGGCACGGACCCGGAAGTGAAGCAAGTTGGGTCAAAATGAAGTCAAAGTACACCACCAAAGTCCTTCAACTTCTACCATTCAGAAAGTAACCAGACTTCTAAAGACCACTATAGAACAAAAAAATATTATATTCTTTATGGAGCCAATACCTGTAATAGTACTCCGTATAAGATGCCATTTTTTGTGCATGCCTTTAAATTTTCTTCAAATTGAAATGCAGAGCAAGCTGTTATGATAAATGACAGTTACAGGGTGTGGGCAAACCATATAATGCTGACAGGGGTATGCTGACAGGGGTGCTTACAATACTCAGCTTTTGTCATACTTTTAGTTTTTTTTTACAAATGAAATAACTGTTGTTGTAAAAGCATTTAAAAAAAAATCCTTCTTGAAGCACATCTCCATTTTAGACCACTCTGTCCATATTTTGACATTGCTGCACTAAATTTACTGCAGAGCAAATAGTGCTGTCACCATGTTACAGGAACATTGACAGATCTACTGTTAGGATCAACAGGCAATAAAACTATCCCGGGGGAGGCTCAGAAAAGCAAAAACTTGGTTATTGCTACTGATAAACTGCAGCATATACACTTTATGGCCATACATGTAACCATGTCCCTCTAAATTATTGAGCTTAGGTGAATGATACTCTGAACAACATAGCTAGGAGTGAGCTTGTGTTTGGTTCAATTGTGACCAGGGCATTCCCAGTGCCACAGCTGCACATACACAAAGGAGTGGGGATGTTTGTGACATCATTGACCCAATATGGCCACATTTGATTGACCTAATATAGCTATGTGGCCATATTAGGTCAATGATGTCAAAAGCATTTCCACCGACTGATCTAAAATACATTTTAGACGTTTGTGTGCTACCACAAGTAGCAAGTTTGGGTCCCCTTTTTTTTTTTTTTACCAGCGTAACAGTGCCCCTGTGCACAAAGCCAGATCCATAAAGACTAGTTTGAAAAGTTTGGTGTGGGGCAACTAGAGTGGTGAGCCCAAACGGTACTAAAACATATTTGATATAAACTGGAATACGGATTGCGAGCCAGGTCCTCTCTGTCAATATCAGTAACTGTTCTCTTTCGGCTGAATGGATACAAATTCCTACAGGCATACTCCAGCATTCTTGTGGAATGCCTTTCCCAGAATGGTGAAGGCTACATGATGACAGATGTTCTCTAGTACAGTCTGATATACAGTACAGTTGTGCTCAAACTTTGGTATACCCTGACAGAAATCATGTAATTTTGGCATTAATATTGAAAATATGACTGATCATGTCAAAAAACTGTCTTTTATTCAAAGTGGTTGTAAACTCAATGTCCAACAAATATCAAACGCTCACATCCCCTTACAGTCTGTAGAATGAACATGACAAGCGCATTATTTGTTCTTCAGTTTTTTTCATGTCTTTGCCTGTTTCTGCCCGCTGTATATCTCCCGGTTTGTGGGCTTTTACACTGCCCGGAGCTCAGGAGGCAAAGTCATGATGTCACAAGACTCCCCTTCCAGCTGTTCACACCCCCGGCATTCTCCCTAGAGCAGCTTAGCAGCACGCACATCGGCTGGTCACTTTCAATGCCTGGTAAGTCTGTTGGATGGTAGTGCTGAAGGTCCAGATGGGAGAGCAAGTGATAGTGCTCAGGCTATGGCTGTGTGAGGCACGCCCCCTTCACTCATGTTCCTCATGAGTCTCCTGATTAAGTCTGTCATTCAAAGGAGAGGGGGCATGGTGACACCTTTTTTACTGAGGTGTCGGAATTTTTTACTGTAGAAGAACGGAGAGGATTGCAGATGACAGGATGTTCTTTTCCTGGCCAAACTGAGGTTAGTAGAATTCTGCTGCACTGCTGAGTTAGATGCAATGTTCAGTTTATTTTGATTTTTTTGTGTTTACAACCACTTTAATGATAGTGATCATATGAAACCATTTATTGTCATAAAGTTGTTTGGCTCCTTTTTAAATCATAATGATAACAGACATCACCCAAATGGCCCTGATCATAAGTTTAC